GACGCCATTTTTGTTTCCAGTGTTATCTTGGCCAACAGTACTGAACTTAAGCGCTAGATAATGTCGCCTGTTCGCTCACGCACATCGTCGCTTAGCTGGCGGGAGAGGTACGTGTTCGTCGATCTGGTTCTACATCTGGTCTTAAGGACCATTGGTGCGTTTACGGAGCTTTCATCAACATCGGATGGTAAACATATTAGCACTTATCGGTTTCAGTCAGTCTGAAAGCTACCTTTGCCTGTTTCACTTTATTAATGGACTGTCATACTACGGCAACTTGTTGGTTGAAGCTTGATCGCCCTGGAGGTGACCCGAACCAAAGACTTGGTTCGGGATTACTGATAATTTAAAGTGAATAATTTATCGGACCTTATATTGTTAATAAGTTTACGATGAAAGATGTGACGGCATTACAGTGACTTCATTAGCTGACATTATTGAGAAATCGAATGTGTTTTGGTGGAGATCGGTACTACTGATAAACTATGAGTTCTTCTTGACAGTATTGACATGTATAAATCGCATTTTTAAAATTGAATAAAACATGATAATTTGAAAGGAGTTTGGTTTGGATTGTTGGCCTCACGGGGGAAAGGTGTAAGCCCCCGGAGACCGTCCCAATTTCAACCAGCAAGCTGGATGTAATCGGGCTATTCAAAAATAAATGTGAAATAGACTTTGCAAAAAATTGCAAAAACCAGCTTTCACACTGATTAGAACAGATACTACACTTGATCTTAGCCAAAAGGCCGAGAAGGTATGACTTTTGTTATCAAAAGTCGATATTATTATACGTTTAGAAAACCGTCACGAACATCAATTAATTAATTACTTTAAGACAATTTTATTGATTATAACAATATTAGTAGATTAAATTAGATATTTGAGATTAGGCATTCATTACTCATTACTTCATTACCCTTGTTTACTAAATACAATACTCAAGCTATATCAGATCGTCCCATTTCTTACATCAAAAGTTGACTAATTCGCAATAGTTTAGCAAAT